AAAAATATTTATATGACGAATAACATTGCTACACGTTTTTGTCAACAGCTAATGACTGTGTATTATTTCCACATTATACATGTATCTAGTTTTGTAGGACTAATTCTGGGAAAAAAACAATTTGTTCTTAACGCACAAGTAAATCACCCATAATCCCAGTAGTTTTTAAAATGCCAAGAAAAGAAAAGTATGTACATGTATCGAACTAAACCAAAGTTATCAGTACCCAAATTGAAAGGTTTAATTGTTTGATAAAATCAATGTTGGTTTGCCTTAAGATACACGACTGTATAACTCGATTACCCACAGATAAACCACTGACATTCCCATTATTACCCATTAGCTGTATGGATACGTCCTTTTGTCTTTTTTCTGCTTTTTTCTTTTATCACTTGAAGAATACTATGTCATTTCATTGTTTGCTCTTTATTTGAATACAGTTGAAGTAACTGACAGGCGTGTGATCTCATTTTTCAATTAACCGAAACAATTTATATTTTAATTCTAACTAATCATTTAAAAACCCAGCAAATTAGTACGAGGACTGGTAGAGAACATGTCAAAAATTATCCATAATGTTATCGTACTTTCTTTGTATCAACAAACTATACGCTTGATTAGAATTGTTTGAAACATGACAAACAAATTTAGTTTACATCCTTACCTGTTGATGTCATTTAAATAAGACACTAATAGTGACTCTCTTTGTTTTTCTTTCTCAAAGTATCTCGACACTAATACCTCTCTAATTGAAGAGGAGGAATATGATCTTTAAACGTTTACAGTTGTTGTAATTCCGAAGAAAAGATTTCTCATGGACAAAAATAAATTTCCTAGAACTGGTCTTTTCACAATAATTAAAAGCGATTTAGACATCAAGGAACCAAAATAATAATATCAATATTAACCAAATATGATAAATAAATACTTGTAAATAAATGATTAAATAAAAAATGAAAATGTACAAATCAAACCTATTTTTTCCATAACTGAATTTCCAGTATTAGATGTATGGTTAACTTTATTCCAAAGAGAAATTAAGCATATCAATGAACAAAAATGATTGCTTGGTAACAATGATAACCATAATTGTTAAAGTCAGTAGGTTTTATGGTTCAATCATGCAGATCGACGAGTCGGTCGGTTGAAACTGTGGAATAATGGAAAAGTATGAGGCTTAGGTGAAACAAACATCTCTCTTATACATTTCTTTTTAAAAATCCGTCTCCAGTTTACAAAGCGAACATAACATCAAATTGCATTAAATTTATTGAAAGGAAAGCCGGTACGACATATTTACTAAGAGATTTCTGTAAATTTAATTAGATTTTCATTTTAATTTTCTAAATCCTTGAAGCATTCAGTTTGCAAATGTTCTGTAATTGAATCAATAATCTAAAATAATTATACTTTGTAGGTTGCTCATGACAGCAGTTTGTTATAAATATAGAAATCTTAACCACATCTAAAAGTGAAGCTTAGATGAGTGTAGTATAAGTGGAACATTTTTTGAAACAAACATGGACACATTTGTAACTTTACTTTTGATTTTAATCTTCCGTAGATATAATCGTAGATATAATCCAGCATGTTCACAAACAGTCGAAAAAATTCACGCATAAAATACCGAAAAATAGGTTCTTAGCTCTTTTAGTTTCCAATCCATTTTCATCTAACTTGGTGATCAAAAATGTAGATTGTTAAATTCGAATTTTAACCCCTGTGAGCCTGAAACTGAAACAATAGTTTCCCCAATAACTATTGCTGGTCACAATTTTGAAAATCGTGGTGGCAAAAGAGCCAAGCTTCATCTGGGTATGTAAATTTAACCCGTTAGTAAAAGTTTGATCTACTCTAGAGCAGAAAAGGCTTGCAAACAGTACTGGTATAAATGTAGTAAATGTAGGGGGCTAATTAACCGCTACAAAGACGTAACTATGAAACGTTGAGTTAGTAAGTAAATGTAGGGGGCTAATTAACCGCTAGAAAGACGTAACTTTGAAACGTTGAGTTAGTAAGTATTGGATTGGACCAATTATCAAGTTATGGATTCCTTTGATTCCAGTGCATCAAATTGTAGTGATCAGTAAGCGTTCTATAAGTGATTGGTGTCTGTATAGTTGGAATAGATAAAGAATTATTAATACTGTCATGTTCAAAATTGATATTTTACTCCATAAAATATCGTACTTTAAAGGAACAGTATGCACATTTTTTATTATACCGGTACAATTTTTTTTACAATTTCTATATTATGCCATTTAGATCTATGTATATCAACCTGAATTTATTTTAGAATGAGTAATTGAAACGGAGCTTACAAGTTGTTGATTAGGAATTTGATTTAGTTTAGGGGTTTGGCCTTTATAATGGTTAGATATTTCCCTACAATTAGGCATTAATTTTGAAAAAAATTCGTACATTAGTTTTCCAACACCAAACAAACAACGATGTTAAAAATGTTTACGTAAATTTAGCGTTCTTTAATTAACAGCAAGATACTCTAATTTAAACTTTCTGATTAGTTCTGTGTTTTGGTGTTGATTTTCATAAATTTAATAAAATAATTTTGGACTTACTCAAAATATTAGACCACGCCTTTTAATTGACCTGTATGTTTGTTGACATTCCCTGTACACGTTTATTCTTCTTTAGTGATTCCCTTCTGTTATTAAAAATTCGAATAAAAGAACGTTAATTAAAATTTTTTTTTCTTGAGCACTGAGATTACTCACTAAAATTATGGATTTTAAAACTAAACCAACTGTAGCGACATGAACTGAACAAGAAAGACTGATAGTAAAGTCATGGATTCGCCATGAATAAGATGAATTTCACGTTGCACAACATGGAAGAGCTTACAGAAGTCATCATTATTACTTTAAGATTTATGAAATTATGACTCTCAACTGTGGAAAAGAATACAAGTATTTCAGCCAAAACTGAATGGGAGTGAATATATCCATGCCTGTATATGTATACCTGGTGGCCTGGAGGAAGTGTCACAAAGTATTTATGTAATCTATCGTATGCGAACATATTTTCAATCAATAAAACATGACGATTGGTATATGTTTTATAGGCTCTATATTATATTATTTCAATTGATTTTTTCAGGCAGGAGAAAACCTTAAAATTTTTCGCACACAGAGAGTTCAGTCTTCAGAATTTAATATGCTATCATTTCACAAAAATTGATTTCAAAACGAAATCCCCAAAGAATGCTTGATGATTTTGCATTTTAAATAGTAAAATCATAGTTCCAAATGGTATATTTTAGAATTTTTATCAACCCTAAATAATCTATAACTCTCAGTAGTATTTTTAAGTTGATATTATTTTTAAGTAATTTCAATTCTTATAAAAGTTATTGGCAAGATTCGATTCAGTAAACACTTTGGTTGGAGAGTATTTAAATGTAGATTTTATTATATGGATGAGACAGAAACCTGTATCAGTCATGTTAATTTTATTTATTAAATGTTTACTTTATAATTTAAATTATTATTACTATAAAAGTGTGATACATTCATAATTAATCTTAATTTTCTTGTATTTTTCTACGATTTTCAGAGTATGAGTCCGCACAAAAAAATATGGAAGAATAATATCAATTGTATATATTAATTAGCATATATCTTAGAATTTTAAATTAGATAAAACCTTTAATATTATGTTGTATTCCGTCAAAAACAAAACCTGAAACAACAATCTATGTAATTTTCAGTATAACTCTCAGTAACAACATGATCCAAGTTCTGTTTTAATATTTTAATAATTGTCAGTTAATTTATATAAAATTCATAAGGTCGGGGAAAAAAAAGAGATTTCTGAATATATCAGACTTAGTTACTAAAGACAAGGAATGCAAATGTA